GTGGACCATGACGACGAGTCCTTAGACTGCCCACTTGCGGCGTAGGTCGTATTATAGAAAAAACAATATTAAGAAAATTTTATTCAGGTATGAAAGCAGTAAATTGAATAAGAAAACACAAGACTATGGGCTGCGTCTACAAAAATCACGACACTTTTCTTGTCAGAATCAGATAAGAATATACGAGCTCATTATTTTAAACACAAAATTTTGATTTCTTTTCAACTGAAGGGCTTTTTCGAATGAACTGCGTAATGTTGGACTATTATCCTACCAACGAATGGCTTTCAACAATCGAATAGCACATTACGGAGTAAATGTAGAACACGTTACGCGTGATATAAAACTATTCCAAGTTATGTCTGCAGTACACCGCCATCGTACCCAAGACCGGCCTTTCTACCGTCACGTGGCTGCCTGTGTTCTGGGCCTAGCTAATATTAGATTTCAAGGTTTTCATAGTGACAAAATAAGATAATTTTTTTGCTAGTAGTTTCTAAAGTAGAGAATGGACTCTTAATAATCGGATTTTCATTTCTAGAACACAACAAAACATTTCTTGCTTCGGTTCTCCGTTTTCTGTCAGTAACATCCTCAATAGTGCGAAAAGTCGCCTCACAGATGAGAAATACAAAAAACGTTAGGCTCACTCTGTAAAAAAGCCTTCAAGTCTCAAAAAGTTATATACTTTTTAAAAGGATGAATATATCAAATCAAATCTTAGACTCTCGTCAACGTAATATAATTCAGTGTAACAAAAAGATCACTTTGCACCGGCAATTTTTATAACAGAATCAAGATTTTATTAATAAAGTATGGATGTTACATCACACTGGTAAGTGCTGCTGCCCTACGAAGTGGTAGAAGTGACGGTCCAGTGACATTAAGAGCTCGTTTCGCGTTTATTGATACAGATGGAAGTATCGTTGCAATTGATTGAATTTTTGAAAGATAGTCTAGTTATACGATTAGTATTAAATTAATAGTGAACTGATATACTTATTGTATTTAAAAAGCAATTTTTACGACATATTTCTCCCTATTAGTTAGAATTGCTGATGCTGTTTTGTTAACCTATCAAGGTACAAAATAAATTTCTTTCAATGTTACATTGTAATATTTCAAAGTTTAGGTATGGAAAGAAAAAGTCCCGTCGATTGCTTTTCTAAAACCAATAGTGTTTATTAGATAATCAATGAAAACGTGTTAAACTGTGAAAATGAGACAGTCTCTCGACAATGTCTTCGTCTGAAGAAATGTTTCAGTGGAGAAGAGGTGAGCCTAAGTCTCCATTAAGATCAAACCATAGACTCTCGTCAACCTAATATACTTTAGTGTAACAAAAAGATCACTTTGCACCGGCAATTTTTATAGCAGAATAAAGATTTTATTAATAAAGGCTTATTTAAAATTTGTTGGGCACAAAAATAGATTAACAAAAAAGAAAAACTTCTAGATTAGTATAATGGTGAAACAATTTGATTATAAAATAAAAATCGAATTTAAATACTGCCGAAAGGTAAACAACAAAAAATGTGTATGTCTGAGGTAACAGCTACTACTGTTTTTCTGAGAAACTCAGGCGAACAGAATTTTGTTTTTTTTATTTTATTTTGGGAAGAGGGAACAAATATTTTCCTTATTCGTTTCATAAAAGTCAGATAAGCGTTTATTGATCATGCTATTTGAAGCATTAAAAGTATAAATCTGTGGAATCAAACTGAAACTGCCGGATGTTTTAGAGCTACGTACGAAAAATAATTTTTTGAGAAACAATATATTAATAATATAAAATTTATTATTAATATATTTTTGTGAAACTTTTATATAAATTTATATGCTCTTTTTGAACACATTTGTTTTGTTTTTTAGGAGGAGGGGGTTTCAAGATAAGTGTTTATACAAATATAAACGAAAAGAAACATATTTTCTTTAAAGAATATATGCTATTTTTTGATTTTTCACTCTTTTTGAACTCTACTCGAGATCGAGGAAAAAAGTTTTTTTTCATAGACAGCGCAAAAATCTGCTAAAGTATTTTCTTTCTTAGGTTGGAAGACACATTCAAGAAATAACTAAGCAACATACAAGAGACTATTGTCTTGCACTCGGACTGTCTAGATAATTCTACTAATTTTTTTTAAAGTTGAATCAAATCTTGAATCTTGAGTTCGGCTGTCCGTCGGTCAGCCGAGTTAGGATTATCGGCGGCTGAAGCTGGTGGATTAGCGTGAAGAGGTGAGGTCGTGATTGTTCCTGAACTGAATTGTCTACACTCTGTAAAGATTGATTTGCAGAAACATTATCACTCTTATGTTGTTTAGCATTTTGATGTTGCTGTAATGCAACAGTTGTGGGAAAGCAATCTGAACATAACGGACAATGGAAGAGATGACCCTTGTTTTTTTGATGTCGTCTAAGTTCTTCATTGTTCGGAAATTTGCATGAACATTTTGGACAAATATGATTTCGAACAGGTAACGAGTCAGAAGGTGGTTTTGTGCGTTGTTGTAGTTGTAGGACTACCGGATCTGGACTTTCGAACAAATGATTTGCAGAAACATCATTACTCGTATGATTTCTAGCAGTTTGATGTTCTAGCAGTTCAGCAGTTGTATGAAATCGATCACCACATAATGGACAACGGAACAGGTGATCTCTGTTTGTTTGATGTTGTCTAATTTGTTCATCAGTCGAACATCTGGAGGAACAAAATGGGCAAATATAAGTACGCTTAAGTAACCAGTCAGCATGTAGATTCGGACGTTGGAGCTGTGGACTGGAACGAGCCGACGTTGACGGAGTAGTGTGAGACGAATCTCGTTGATTTTCTCCGTCAGTTGCATTCAATTTGTTGGACACTGCGTTCTGTCCATTGTCGAAATTGGATTGATCTCTCGATGGCTGACGAATCCCATTCATTAATGGACGTGGTGCCCCCTGATTTCTGTATGACACTGAATTTGATTGACGACGTGGATCGTTACCCATTTGTGTAAATTGTGACCAGGGGTAATCTGCATTGACAGTTGCTCTGAGTTCTTTTCGTGCTAGTGCATTGTAAACAAGGATTACATAAAATCCAGCATGTTTACGTAGATCACTCAATGTACGGACGAAATCAATGGGTATATTCGTCTATCGCGTTTACAGTAGGCAACGATTTCTGTCGTATTGCTCGAGATATCTGTGGAATTTTTTCCGGTCTGAACATATTTTAGTTGAGTTCTTTGAAAAACACATCTACCGTGAGACTTCCTCCGATGGAGCTATCAACATCTTTATAACTCCAACATGGCATCAAACACGTTTCCATCAACAACAGGACTGACAGACTGTCGGTCTATGGACGACGATACAAAAAAACGAAGCAACGACGATAATAAAATTTATGAAAAAGAACGTACTTCTTTCTTCAACGTTTATATTTTTTTACCTCTGTTTCACCATCTATCTTCGTTCTTCTATTAGTTTTTGTAGAAGATAAGATATATTTTTACCTTTTTGTATCGTCATCCATAGACAGCAAAATTTAATAATAATTCTATATATTTTTCCGTTCTGAACATATTTTAGTTGAGTTCTTGAAAAACTGGACTTTCGCTCGAGTGAACGACACGTCTACCCTGAGACTTCGTCTGATGGAGCTGGAAGTTTTATCAAATTCACTAAGCAGTATCTCTGAGTAGCGGTTATTTCTTTTCAAAAAAAATATTGCTTTGGTTATCATGTAAAGGGAATGTTCATTCTACCAAACAGTTATACGAAGCGTTAGAATCTTCAAACGACAAAAAAAATGTGTTTAGCCTAATTAGAAAATCTCGAATTGAATTCAGTACAGTTTGAAAGGATTTCTATCCCATATAATAACCGAACATGCTCATATCACCCGAGATAAGTACAACGGTGTCTCCTCGCTTATGTGTTAGTTGATGTCGAGCGAGATCCAACATAATTTTATGGTCTGCTGCACCGGCTTTATTGCTGTGTAGTACATCGATTGTATCAATATTTGCAAGCATTAAACGCTGTCGCATAAAGTCAGATATCATTTTCGTATCGTAATAGCAGTTGAAAGCGTCTTCCCGGAGTCCAGATTTATGAACAAACAGATCTCGTACACGTTGTATTACCTCAAATGCATCGCAATCTCT